CAGACGGACAAAACCGGGCAGAGTTCTCTTGGAACCGATCCGACCGTGGAGGCTCACGACAACAGATCGGAAGCAAGACGGACGGATCACAAGACTGACAGCGCGCCGCGCGATCAACAAACGCTGCAGCCGCCGCCGCTCAGCCACAGACGAAAGCTGGCGGCTGAAACATCGGGCCAATCATAAAAACAGCAAGTAAACCTCTGGCCCAGTGTTTTGCTAAGGCACCGTAAGCCTGCCGCGGCAACATAATACCTTCACGCGAGGGCAACACCCTACGCACGGCCTGCCCAGCTGAGCCCCCTCTCCCCCCCCCCCCCCCCCTCCAAACGCCGTCGCCCGGCCGGGTTCGTCCGGGCCGGGCGTCTTCTCTCGCCCCGACGCGGCGTCCACTGACCTTGGATGCCCTTGCGGTAGGTCTTCTGCGTGTAGCGCAGACCGGTGACGATATCTCGCTGCACGTGGAACTCGATCCGTAACCGGTACTGAATGCCCTCCTTGATGGTCACCGTCTGGCGGCGAGACAGGTGCGCTGAACGTCGCGGATATGGCGCACGTAAATTGATCGCCGACTTCCGTCGCCCGGGGCGTGTTATTGCCGAATGGTAAGCACCTTCGGCTGCCACGTGCGACGTCGGGGTTCGAAGCCCGTTGCACCATGGTTCCTGAGTGTCAATAACGCCTCTAACAGTCGCTGGCTCTCCATAACAGGGTGCGGGACGGTGCGTGTCGCGTTGCATTTTTTACAGATTTTCACGGCCGTCTTTCGACGACAATACTATGACTTCGGCCGAACACAGTGATGTTTCGATAATGCTTCGGCAGCGTTTTGGTCAACGCGACGCTCAGCTGGCGTAATTCTAGAAACACACCGTGGTTGGCGCTGTGGCGGCGGGGTGCATGCGATTCCAAGCTGCTGAGGGCAGGCATGGTTGGCGGCCATGCCGCATCCGAGACGAAACGACTACGCAACTATACACGCGAGTATTGCAATCAATATCAAACGAATACGTATCCTGCTGTCTGCAAACCGGACGATCATTAAACCAGACGATCACTACATAGGCGATCACTACGCCGGACGACCATTACATCAGACGACCACTAAACCAGCGAACGAACAGCTGCGATCGATCCACACCGAAGAGCCACATCAGCGGTGCGACTCTGGTCGCACTTTGGACTCCGACTCGCAGCTGATTCCGATCGATTCGACGCGCCGCACCGCGTGAGTCAGACACCACAGTCGATACCCTCCGGCCAATCATGACCCTCGCTTTCCCCCCCCCCCAACCCCTCCCTCCCGTCAGGCAACTGTGGGGATTAATGCCCCTCTGCTGCCGAATCGTTTAGCTGTGCTCTGACCAGACATTCTGCAGCGGCGCTCTGGTTTGTTGTTTCTGCTGCTCTGACCAGCTTCTCGTTAGCTGTGTGCTGACAGCTGATCTAGTGGAGTATCTGGCCCTGTGACTCCTCTTCCACACCGACTCCTTGAGCTGTGACCTGCTGTGCTCTGCCCCCCCCCCCCCTGCCATGCACCTGTCTGCTACCCCCTCCCTCCCTCCCCCCGTGATTTTCTGGTCCCCATACCACCTGCCATCCCGTTCCCTGCTGGGTTCTGACCTGCTGTTTCAGCACCTCCAGGTCACCACTCAGGTCCAGCACCACGTCTTCCCGGCCCTCCACCACCAGCGCCAGCCGACGCACAATCACCCGGCTGGGGTTGGACTCGTCTGAAACAGGGAAGGACCGGCGGCGTCAGAGCCGCAGCAGCCGGACGACGCAAGATCATCCGGCTCAGATTGGACTCGTCTGAAACGGGGAAGGACCGGCGGCGTCAGAGCCGCAGCAGCCGGGCGACATAAGATCATCCGGCTGAGATTGGACTCGTCTGAAACGGGGAAGGACCGGCGGCGTCAGAGCCGCAGCAGCCGGGCGACACAAGATCATCCGGCTGAGATTGGACTCGTCTGAAACGGGGAAGGACCGGCGGCGTCAGAGCCGCAGCAGCCGGGCGATGTAAGATCATTCAGCTCGGGATGGACTTGTCTGAAGCGGGGGAGGACTGCCAGCCGGACTGCCTGGCTGCTGCGCCAGAAGCCGCAGCAGCCAGGCGACGCAAGATCATCCGGCTTGTAATGGACTTGTCTGAAACAGGGCAGGGGCTGGAACTCCCAGCAACTTGCTCAGCCTGACCAATCTTCCGAGCTGACCCACACTTGAAATAAAAAAAAACAAGTGACACATTCATGGAGAAGTCGAGCCTTGGATCGGTGTTTGCGGATCGGTGTTTGTGATAATCTGACCCCTCCCTTGCTGCTTTGGCACTGGAGTTTTCTGGGAGCATGCTAACATCTCTTGTTAAGCGATCTTCAGGTCCTGCGCCCCCCCCCCCCAAACACACACACACACACCTTCCCTCTTCCTTTCAGACACTCACCGACAACGACGCCGCCAGCAGTGGCCTGACCGAGCAGCGTGGCCTTGTACTTCTGCAGGCTCTCGTCTTCCGTGTCCAGCGACAGCAGGTCGTTCAGGCTCTTCTCCGGCGGAGGAGCATAGCCCACGTCCTGTCTCGTCATCATGCTCGTGTTCGTCGGCGGACACCGGCGGCTGCGGCTCGTCAGACATGGCAGCTGTCGCAGTGGGGGAGTGAGTCAGATATGGCAGCTGCAGGAGGGAGGGAGGGGGGGGGGGGCAAGCCAAACATGGTGACTGTGACAGGGGAGAGAGTCTAATACAGTAGCTGCAGCTGGGAAAGGAATCAGACATGACAGCTGTGGCAGGGGTGAGATCAGACATGGCAGCTGTGGCAGCAGGCCAAGTTAGGTGGGTAGATGCAGCAAGGGAGGAATGTCAGACATTGCAGCCTGCAGGTGCTTGGGTGGAGAGTCAGACATGGCAGCCTGGGGATGGATGACACAGACATGGCAGCCTGGGGATGGAGGACACAGACATGGCAGCCTGGGGATGGAGGACACAGACATGGCAGCCTGGGGATGGAGAACATGGACATGGCTGCAATGGGGGGGGGGGGGGGGGGAGACAGATATGGCTGCTTGGGGGGAATGAGAGTCAGACATGGCACCATGGGGATGGAGGACACAGACATGGCTGCAATGGGGGACAGATATGGCTGCTTGGGGGAATGAGAGTCAGACATGTCAAGACAAGGTAAGGGATGGGCCCTGCTGGTAACAGCAGGGGTTTCCAGTGTTTTTGAATCCAAGGCATCTTGTGCTGATCATATGACCTTTTTACCACCAAATTCAAGGTGCATGCAGTATAACTTCTTCTAGGTGGGTATTTGAGCTTGACCAATGGTCAAAATAGGCTTAATTAAATGCACCAAGTATGCAAACAACTGCCTATTTTACCACTGAGGACCCACACCAGACATGGCAGCTCTATGGTGCAGCACCTGACATAGAGCATGACATAAACCAGTGGAGAAAGAGCACCAATGTTCAGAATAGCATTTTTGGCCCCTCAGTTCATAAGATCTTACCACCATGAACTACATATGCTTTGTTTTCTAGAATTCAAATATCCAGGCACATCAAGATAAGAGATTCATCATTTCAAATCACCAATGCAATGGGTACAGCAATGCAATGCAATGGGTACAAAAGATGGGCAATGGGTACAGCCCTGAAGAACTGGTTAGAAAACTGTGCTGTAGGTAGCTGAATCTTGAGCATGCTCAATGTGCCATTTTTCTTGAACTTGGGCTGTGTCATTTTACAATTTAGAGACCATTGAAAGACAACCTCACATTGGCTTACTTCCTGGTCCTGGCTGGATTTCAAATAAGCACAGCTTCTAAGGTTGAAGTCTACAATTAGCCTATCTCATACCTGGTGCATTTAGGCCTACAGTCAACCAATCTTGTAACTGAGGTCTACAGTTAACCAGTCCCATCAGTGATAAGTTGCAGGAGGCTGAGCTGCAAGGTAGAGAGGCTCAAATTTTACTACCTCGTCATGGTCTGACAGCTCAGGATTGCAGCAGTGTGGAGTCATGAGATATAATGAAATTGTTTTGATCTCATACAATCACTGATCTACCACACTCAATCTCATCTGTGTCAATCTCATTCCAGAAAGCCATTACTATGTTCAGATAATTTTATGATTTATCTTCTTTTCATTGCAATATTACAAAACAAATGCATGAACACTAATTACAATAGAATATTACCCTGCAAATTATGGTGGTCATAATAGGCAATTAATTGCCAAATCTAAATGCCTACTCTGAAGCCCAGGTGGAAGGGTTGCAATGGTACAACAGCTTTGCTTCTATCTTTACAGGTAGAGAGCAGATTTTCAACTCCCACAACACATATATGACATGAAAAAACATGAGGAGCAAAATATAAAAGTAAATCAGCTAAAAAATTATATTCTGATTAAGATGATTATCTAGGAATATGTAGCATTTATCTTTCCATAACTCCATTTTATGTGAAACAGAATATAACTGATGGCTTTCAAATGCTAGCATGACTAGAGATGACTCTCTTATACCTGATAAATAGCTTATGATCATGTGTAAATGAATATGCCTGCAACACACATGATGCTAATACTCTTTATGATTAACCTATAAATGTTAAATGTTAAGGTGACAGACTGACATCATTCATCACCAATATATAATTTATAATGAAATATGAAATAAAAGCCAACTATTTCATATTTCCAAGATAATGATTTGTTCATTTTCCATAATCTTCTTGTTGTTCATTGGTGTTTTCTGGCATGTAAACTGCAGTGGTCATTTTGTGCCCACTCCATTAGTTTCCTAACTCACATTTTCTTCACATCAACTGTCATATCATGTGAAAAATCCGTGAGCCTCATAAATGGGGAGGAAGCATGGGTGCACAAACAGTGCCATATTGAGATTCAGACATGCACAAATCATAACTGTCAGCCATTATCATGTCCACTGATTTCTGCCAGAATCAGGCAAGGGAGTCTTGAGTGGTGCAATGTATTTAAAGGAGGTCAAACAACGTCATACATTGTACATATACCTGCCTGAGAACAGCGAGAATACCACCCAGATGAAAACTACAATTGCTTGAATGAAACCTTTTCTCTAAGGACAACAAAACTCGTCTTAGGGCACACACGCTAACAAAAAATTGGGCGTGAACAATCGAAACATGGGCGCAATTAACGCCGCACAACCATGCGTCTGGTCTCTCGGCCTTCCCGAGCGGTAAGAAATGGCAGGTTCGTGTGTAAAATGTGAAAAAACGTAAATATAGAGCTACATTCGTCCTTACCTACTTCGTAGCGGGAAGATGACCACAGTACACGCAACCACAACGCCGCACCCAGAACACCGCGCGCGCCCCCACCCAAAACAGCTTTACGGCAGGCGGCGAGGTGCCAGATGACTTCCTACGATATCCCTAGTTTAGTGGAAATCATGCGCCAGTGAGCTAAATACCGCCAGTTTTTGGCAATTACGATCAAAATCCAAACCACCGGTCGGCGGAAGTAAAAAGACAAAAATTCAAGCTCTGATGATCCATGCCATTACATGTCACTTTAACGCGGTCATTCACATAAAAGGTACAGCCAAGCGAGAAGCATTTTAGTTCTCGCGGTCGCCAACGCGCTCAGATCAACCAAGACCCAAGCGTGCACGAAAAGCGGGATCATCAGCGAAATGCCATGAAGTAGCTGATCAGCGCTCGTGTTTGTCAGACGACAAGGCTTAATAATGATGGAAGCTGCATATGCCTCATTCATTTTGAGAAGATGCAGTCTTCGTTATCGCCATCGCACCGAGAAATTCAGCGGAATTTAATGACATGTCCAATCTGGAAACACAGGGAAACAGTCAACAAAATTCCCACCCGGCAGGCGTGTATGCTGGGTTGCCGACAGGGTGGGGCTCGTGAACTGCAGGCGAGGGCCCACCGACAAGTCACTTGAGGGTGGGACTGAGCAACAAGGCGCTCAGCTTTGGGGCCTTTTTGCCGTGCAGCGTTGCCCGTAGGATCAGTCTAAAACTTCACACCGCTGTTAGTGTGGCGCGCGGCATATCTATCCGCCGCGGGGCCACATGCTGTCTTTTCAATGTGCGAGTACGGTTTTTGTTTGTCACGCTAGGCCCGGGCGCTCGTTCCGGGCATACGCACTAAGACGATGAATAGGTGGCGGCCTTTTAAAAGCACCAACCTCGCCGGAGCAGAGGCACGTTCAAACGTTCAGACAGTACCGTAACACAGACAGTCGGCTGTCGGAGGGACATTGAGACGGACATGGTGGTGGGAGACCTTGTCTTGTCTTGGATTAGGACGCATAGCGTCCTGGGCTCGAGCGTCCGTTTTCAGTTGTCTTCATCGCGTCCCTTTTGTATTCAATTCAGATTTGCCCTGCAGCTTTTTTTTGGTATATTATGGAGACTAAGAATGGCAAAAAAAATGGAAGATTTGGCTACGGGATGGATACTCGTGCAAAGGATGTATTAGTACTCAGTAGTTAATACTATCTCGAGGTACATAATTAGGAGTCACTGTGTCTACATACAAGGAAACTACTCATTTATACCAACAGGCCTGATCCCCTCGATCACGTCGTTCGCTCCACACTCAAACAGTAACACAAGATCTCGCAACTTCAACGACACAGGACACGACATGAATCGCGGTGGAATGCATGTTTGTTTGACAACTGAGGTACTGCAGCAAAGCACGCATCACCTTGTGATAAATTACAGCAACTCATTCTGTCAGCACTCCGGCACAGAATGTGCTCATCATGCGTCGCAATTAAATATATACGTATTGCTACCCTGTCAATCAGTTCGCTTATATGCTTACGGTTCGCTCAGTCCGACAAGTTGGTCGCAGGTCCTTCATCGTTTTTCGCATCGCTACGGAGTCTTTCCTGTTGTGTTTTTTTTTTAAAGATTTAATCCGAACCCTTTGAATGGATGGACTTCCGGGATCAGAGCTCACGCCAAGCAGTGCCTGTTGTGTGAGCCATGACCCCTACCATCCGATCGCGCAATTCCACGTCAACGGCAGAATTTGGTGGCGAAAGCTTGACGTGCCGCAATGTTCGGCACGGTCCGCCCTGCCCTCTGACGTCAACTGACCTTTAGCGCGACCGCTGCCACCGGCCGCAGGCCATACCTGTCAAGGGCAAATAGCGAGTGCCCTAAAGCGTCTCGAACTCACCCCGCCACGGATGGGTGCACCGGAAGGCAGGCGCTCTAACCAACTGAGCCACCGGGACAGACAAATATTAATGAGCCACCGGGACGGACAAATGACAAATGACTGTTAATGCTAAACTACAAAGCAACATAAAGTTATAGCAAAATAATCAAGATAGAAGCCAGCTCACACATGTACATGATCATACACACAGACACACACACACGCACACACACATACACACACACACACACACACACACACAACACACACACAACAACACACACACACACACACACACAACCCACACACACACACCACACACACCACACACACACACACAGCACACACACACACACACACACAACCACACACACAAAACACAGACATCACACACACTACTCTCCTCTCGCACCACACACACACACACCACACACAAACACACACACACATAATAGAGAGATAGAGGTATAGAGAGAGGATAGAGAGAGAGAGAGATATATAGATAGAGAGAGGATAGAGATAGAGAGAGAGAGAAGAGAGAGAGAGAGAGAGAGATATAGAGAGATATAGTAGAGAGAAAGTCGAGAGATAGAGCGATAGATAGAGAGATAGAGATAGAGAGAGAGAGATATAGATAGAAGAGAGATAGATATAGACTATCATCAATCACTGTTTTTCATACCACCATTCACCATATTACCACTTCCTATGCTCACAAACCCGAGCGCAACATTTGTGACATCGCATGAACTTGAAATCATTATAAACAGCATGCACACCTACCATATTGCATGGCGAACGAAAGGAAACAAAAAGAAACCGCATACACTACACATTATAGACCACACTTTTATACAGCTTCAGGTTTGTCATACATGCTCACGCAGAAGCATCCCCTGCCACTATAGTTCTTGTAAAAGCTTGCAAGGCATAGCGATTTAACACTTCGTCAATACCGCCGGATAATCATTGCCGATTAGCGATTTCATACCATGGTGGCGTTTCTATATTTTGACAAATGTAACAATACGTCGTCGCTGACGCGCGAACAATGGGGCATTCCACTGACATACGTGTACTGTTTCGAGGGCATACGCAGTTCTCACAGGTAGTCTTGGTTGTCGGTCCATAAGAACGATGGGTGCATCTTGTATATCCTTGTCGTAGTTTGCATAGGATGATTTCTTCGCGCCGGTTGGTCCTCGTTGAGGAGTCCCATGTCCTATATTCTCCTTCACCGTTTTTCAGTGTTTATTGGTCGTCCCCTCTATGTTGAAATGATTTCTTCGGCGATGCAAATCGTAAATACTCACTGTATCCTCTTTGGGTTTCAAGTCCTTCGTTTAACAGACTGCCGCCAGATGGTATATAATGATTTTTTAGCGCTGACCAGCGACAAAATCAGTGCATATTACACATTTCGGGATCCCTTGCTTTTCACATATTTCATTGCTGAGATATAGCCACGGTTTCAGCACCAAACCGCCGAACATTTATGACCGTCCGTAAAAATATAAGTAAAGTCAGGATATCCATTCATAGTTAACACAAATCATGTTTGCATTTGACGTACATTCAGAACACCTTATTTTCATTCGTGAGTTCTCTGTTTCCCATTTGCGTGGATTTCAAGTGATATGGAACCTTTCTTTGTCTCATTTTCTTTTTTCCATTTTCACTGACCTTTTCGAGACTTCCTCTCACTGGTTGTCACTCAATGTTTGAAGAAATCGCAATGGATTCTCACTGCCTGATGTTTGATGTTTGATGTTTGATGTTGATGTTTGATGATGATGTTTCCTCCTCCACACATGTATGGACTGTTGGAGCTCATCCACGTTGAAAACGCGTTAATACCTCATTGTTGTCAGAAGAAAGTTGGCATTTCTTGTACCAGTTCATTTAAAAACGATTCCTAATATTGGTTGGTAGTTTCGTGGAAGCACATGTATTGAAAGAGTGTCTTCCCACATTTGTTACCGTCGTCAGGATCAGCAATAATAGCACCATCAATGTTTGAAAACAGCTAGCGGCCTTTGTGACCTCCCTTTTCCTCGTAAATCTGCGCATAATATCCCACAGCTGTTTGCACCGTATGGTGTCATTGAAAACGTGCAAAATTTCCCAAGATTCCTCTTGGGTTAGGAATAACCTGCCTGGCCTTTGCTTAAGCTTGTTTGTGTTCCATTAGGTGGACGGTCTGTCAACTCCATCTAATCAGTTAAATGCCCTTTTACTATTTCGAATAGCGTCTTGCATTCTTCGTTCCCAACAGGGCCATCTATATTTTGTTTCCCCCGTTTTTCTGATGAATGGTTTCCTTTGCCACTCTGATTCAAGTCTCATCATAGAGTCGCAGGTTGTCGATACCAGCCGTTTCATCACTCAAATCGCATATCACATTTGTCGTAATTCTGTACATTTTGCTTTGTTCACATTCCACCCATGCAATGTGGGCGGGTTAAGTTCCGTTGTTTGAATCCATTTCGAATGTAATGT